GTACTGGGAATCAGCAAAACCCATTGGACCCAAACTGGACAACAAAGGCTAAATACGGGAGAGATGCTGCTGTACTCCGATCACGAAGAGGAAAATGCTCTACACACTCAGGGAGTTGCTCTAATACTGTCCAAACTGGTACGAAATGCACTTGTAGGATGAGAATTTCACGGATCCAGAATCATCAAAGCACCATTCAAATCAAATAATGAGGGAATTACAATTAATGTTATCCAGTGTTATGCACCCACCAATGATAGCAATGACGACGATAAAGATCAGTTCTACGATAGGTTGCGATCAATCATAGCGAAGCGGCCAAGAATGGACCTCACCATTCTGATGGGAGATCTAAATGCCAAAGTCGGAATAGATAACACCGGATATGAAGATATCATGAGACGACATGGACTGGGACAGAGAAACGACCTTCCTTCGAGATATGACAGACTCAATGAATTCAAGATAGCTCTCAACAACAGGTCCCAGGCCTTACAGGATCTACTGAAGGAAGAAGAAACGACTATGGAGGACAACTGGTGGAAAGGTATCAAGGAAGCATTAACTTCAACGTGTCAAGAGATCCTGGGCCTCAACAAGCATCATCATAAGGAATGGATCTCTATAGAAACACTGGACAAGATCAAAGAAAGGAAGAACAAGAAGACAGCAATTAACAACAGCCGAACACGAGCAGAGAAAGTCAAGGCACAAACTGAGTACATAGAAGCAGACAAGAAAGTGAAGAAGAGCATTAAAGCCGAAAAGCAGAAATACGTGGAAGAACTAGCAATGACGGCGGAAAAAGCTGCAAGAGAAGGAAACATGAAACAGCTGTATGATACAACGAAGAAACTAGCAGGGAGATACAGTAAACCAGAGAGGCCGGTCAAAGACAAAGAAGGCAGGCCAATCACTGAAACTCAACGACAGTGGGACAGTTGAGTAGAGTACTTCGAGGAACTCTTGAATAGATCGGCTCCAATGAATCCACCAGACAACGAAGCAGTACACACAGATCATCCTATAGATATCACTCCACCAACGACCAAAGAAATCACGATGGTCATCAGACAAATCAAGAGCGGGAAATCAGCAGGACCTGATAATATACCAGCTGAAGCACTGAATTCAGACAGCGAAGTAACTACAGACATGCTTCATACTCTATTCAAGAAGATTTGGGAGGAGGATTAAGTGCCGATGGACTGGAAAGAAGGACACTTCATCAAGATTCCAAAGAAAGGAGATCTGAGCAAACATGAAAACTACAGAGGCATCACACTACTGCCATTACTAGGGAAAGTCTTTAACAGAGTGTTGCTGAACCGGATGAAAGACACAGTAGACGCCCAACTTGGAGTTCAGCAGGCTGGATTTCGTTGCGATCGGTCGTGCACAGACCGAATTGCAACACTACGGATCATCGTCGAACAATCAGTTGAGTGAAACTCGACACTGTACATCAACTTCATTGATTATGAAAAGGCACTTGACAGTGTAGATAGGAGTACATTACGGAAGCGTCGTCGGCACTACGGAGTTCCTGAGAAGATTGTCAACATTATCCGGAACTCATACGACGGAACACAGTGCAATGTAGTGCATGGACGACAGCCGACAAATGAATTCCAAGTAAGAATCGGAGTCAGACAAGGGTGTCTACTCTCCCACTTCCTCTCTCTTCTGGTGGTCGACTGGATTATGAAGACCTCGACATCCGAGGGAAAACACGGCATACAATGGACAGCTCAGAACCAATTAGATGATTTCGACTTCGCAGATGACCTAGCCCTCCTATCGCATACACACCAACAAATGCAGATAAAGACAGCCAGTATAGCATCAGTTTCTGCATCAATAGGCCTCAACATACATAAGGGGTAAACCAAGCTTCTCGAATACAACACGGAGAACACCAATCCAATCACACTTGATGGCGAAACTCTGGAAGATATAGAATCCTTCACGTACCTGTGAAGCATCATAGATGAACATGGAGGTTCAGATGCAGACGTAATGGCGAGGATTGGCAGAACAAGGGCCGCATCCCTACAATTGAAGAACATATGGAACTCAAAACAACTTTCAACCAATATCAAAGTCACAATGTTCAATACCAACGTCAACACAGTGCTACTGCACGGAGCTGACGATTGGGGAACTACTACAACCATCATCAAGAAGGTACAAGTATTTATAAATAGTTGTCTACGCAGGATACTCAACATCCATTGGCCGGATACCATCAGCAACAGCCTTCTGTGAGAGAGAACAAACCAGCTTCCAGCTGAAGAGGTAATTAGGAAAAGACAATGGAAATGGATAGGACATACATTACGCAAATCATCAAACTGCATCACGAGGCAGGTTGTAACTTGGAATCGTGAAGGGAAGCTGAGAAGAGGAAGGCCAAAGAACAGATATGAATAAAGTGAATAACAACTGGAAAGAACTGAAAATGATTGCCTAGGACAGGGTTGGGTGGCGGGTGCTGGTTGGCGGCTTATGCTCCTCCACGAGGGGCAAGAGGCGTAAGAGAATGTGACTATTCGAATTTGTCAGTATATTGATTTTATCAATAATAGTTTGAGTATAATGCACCTACAGTGTTGAGAACAATTAATTTTCTAGTACGAAGTTAAAAAACAAACTTCATAGACATCTGACAGAAAATTTTAAAAGAACTATGAATAAACTAATTCTATTTTCACAATGTACCTGGATGGCTTGTTAATGCACGAATGGAATACTTTCAAGTATAATTTCCTCACATGATTCCTTCATAGCCCCACAGAATATGTTATGAGAATCCGAGAAGTCAAACATTATTTTCTCAACGAAATCTCCAAACTACACAAGGTATACTACAAATATGAGCTAATCAGAGTCAGTGAATTCCTCACTAGTGCAGAGAAGTAATCAATATGTAAGCGATAAACACAATAATACAGCAAAGAGAAAGGAGCTAGGAAAAAAAGATGTAAAATAGTATGTTTGAGACAAAGAGAATAAATCTGGGTCATTAAGACTTGTTTTTGGCCATATTACCCAGTCTTCGGCCAGCGGTTTGAATTGTTTTTTGAGCCTCAATCAAGAATATTACATCTTTCCACATAGTTCAGGACAACAATCACTGAACTGAGGAGTTGGTGTTATCAGTCTGAACACTAATACACTTCATCTATCGCTTATCTATGTAATAGGCAGTGAATTGGGATATATAATACCTAATTCGATGAAGGTTTACAGCTCCAACAGACTCATCTTCTTTTTTTGATGTGAAAAGTCTGACACGAGTATTGTTTGACTAGTATTCGTTCTATGTTCTACATTTAATCAACATCTTTAACTAATAAAACAATATCATTTGTATATCTAATTACGGTAGAGAATTTTTTGCTAATCATCGAATATTGAGTCAGGCAGAACATAGGTTATCTCTAAGAGCGTATATCCACAATAGAATTAGATAAATATCCAGAGTTGATAAACATGGTGAGTTATATTTCCAGGTTTTAAGACAAGTAAACGAAAGAAATTAAGGTTTTATAATGCAATTGTTAAGCACCCTTTAAATTTAACTATACAGTAGAATACGACTGGAATTAAGTAGTGGTATATATTTCTCAACGG